AGGCTTAGCCTCGCAGAGCCCTTTCTCCTCTTCTGCCCTAGCTACCACCCTCTCTGCATCACCCCTGCTCCAGTCCAGTCTGCTCTTCCTCCCCTGGCTTGTGCTCTGACCCCTTGGTCCCATTCCCAACAGCATTCAGAGACAATGCCATAGGGATTGTTTTCCTTGTAAAGGAAACCACTCTGTAGATTCCGGTTATTTTACAGAACATCTGGTTTGCAAATGAGAAGCTCTCTGGGGCTTGGGCTGCACAGAGTGAACAATTTTGAAGAAGCTTTCAACAAAACTTGAAATTGCTTAACAACCATGAAACCAGCTCCCCTTCCTGCTGTTCTGGGGCTCACAATCTCGTCACTGTAAGGAGAAGGTGACATTTAAAAGATGATCGAGGGCTGGTGAGGTGGCTCCAAAAGAGCTTGCTTTCAACCATGAAAGCCTCAGTTAGGATTCCCAGCACTCACATAAGAGCTGGCTGTGGCAGGGTGAGCTCATAGGCCCTGCACTTGGGAGCAGAGACCCCAGGGTCCTGGGATTTCACAGCCATCCAGTGTAGATAAAATGTGAGCTCCAGGTTTAATGAGAAACTCTGTCTCAAAAAAAATAAAATAAGGTGGAGAAAGAAACAGTTGAGGGTATCCTAATGTCAACCCCTTGTCTTCACATGCACCCACGCAGGGGAATACACACACTGGCATAACACACACACACACACACACACACACACACACACACACAATGGCTTTCTTAGGGCCTTTTTGAGTTTAGGCCTTTTAGTTTAGCTGTGTTCTTGGCCACTTTCTCCATCATTAAGGAATGATAGGTTAATTAGGCAGAACACAGGTGGCAAGGAAATTAATTGGAAAACCAGTAGTAGAAGATACATTTCAAACTTGAATTTTCCAGCGCTTATTTTCTTCTCTTTCAACAGATTTCAAATAAATTGAAAGGGGGGAGTGGGAGAAGAAAACACCCATATTTAATATATATTGGCAAGCACTGCACAGCTATGAAGTAAAATTGTCAGGGGACTTCTTTGCCTGCCCTGGTGCTGAGATTTAAAGCCTCTCCATTGCAGAGACTGAAGAGGAATTCAATTAAGAAAGCCCGTTGGTTCTGTATTGACTTTAGTTAGTTAAGAAAATAAAGTAGGAAAAGTGTATTAAAATGTTGCCGGGCTGCTTGTCCCGCTTCCAGCTAAGCTCATGGCTGGCAAGACGGGGGTGTTTAAATTCCCCACAGCGAAGTGCAGCTCTAGGGCAGGCTGTTTTCTCCAGGTTGTACTCACAGCATTTTCCAGTGTCCACCCTGGTCTCATATAACCATTCCACATGCTGCCCTAAAGGGACTCTGTATCACAACACAAGAACAGCACAGGTCGATTGGTAAGAAAGGTATTTAAGGTTGGGAATTTAATTTTTGTTCTTGGATTTTCATTTATGGCACCCGTTGTGTTTGAGACCACAGACTAATTTATGGATTAGTTTTAAGCCTCCAGTCTGTCACACTCAATGAACAATTCTAAGTTGGAGAGAATCCATCTGAAAGGATTAGAATGAACCACAGTGGGGCTTACACATGACTGTTTCAACTAAATATTGCCCAGCTGCCACTCAGGCGGGCTGAGGGGTTTTTTTCCCCCTCTACTTGGCTACTTGGTTAAATGGCTACTGTCTCTAATCTCACACATTGTCAAAGGCTTCTCATTCTGTAAATATCTTATACCTCAGCATGAACTATCTGTGGTTGTCTCACTTGTTTGAGGCAGGGTCACATTAACTGCTTGCAGGGCTCTGAGCATAAAAGAAAAGTCGGTGTTGAGTGAAAGACTGTCTTTCGAGTCAGTACAAGGCCTGTCTCAGACACCCTTTTGATTGCAAACTCATAAAACGGCTAAGAAATGCCTAGTAAGACTATGTTCACTCAGCATTTGTGAGAAAAGGGGATTGGCTTGTTTTTGTTTGTTTCATTATTTTTAAAAATGGTATTGTATATTATTGTACAATAATATACAATACATTTACCCACACCATAATTAAAACTGGAGAGAATGGCTTAACTTAGCCGTTTTGTATATTATAACCCAGTGCTTCCCAATCAACTTTTGTGACCTATTTTTCCCATAGGCCTAGCTCTAAGATTTTTTTTTAAGACAACAAAATTAGCTTTAAAAGCCTTTCTGAGGGCAACCAGACACTATTTTTCAAGCCAGTTATTGCATTTATAACATTGTTTGGAAATGTTTGCATTTACTCACACAATTAAAATGTTATGAAATACTCCATTGGCCACCCCAGAAGCTGATTCTTGAGGGGTTTGTTTTTCTCTACTTCCTGATGAAGACACCCTAATAAATTGTGCTTCAAGATTTGGACTCACCCCAGAGCCAAGTTGTCTGTGGTGTCTGCATGGTGTCATAATGCAATTACAAAGGAGAATTAGATCCTGTTCTAGTGTCCCTGTGGAGAGCCCACAGTCACTTGAAATAGCCTCTGCTCAGGTCGCATACCAGATGCTCTCTGAGAAACAGAGTCAATAGCTCCCCGGACACACTCCTAATCCTGATTTAAACCCCGTAGCCAACCTGTGTTTCCGCTGCAGCGTCTCTCCTGGAGCTGCTCATGGGTTTGCCATTCCAGCTGCAATAATCATGTTGCTTGACTTGAGTATGTGTTTGCTTAACTGTTTTAGAGTGTTTTCCTGCAATGTTCCTTTTTCTCTTCTGTTGGGTGCAATTGATGGATTTCGCATCCCTGGAGTTGGGGTGCAAAATGCACTATGGCCGTGGCTGCATTTATTGTCTGGTGCCCATGTAAGAGCTGACGCCTGGCTTCACTTGGTTTAATTTTGTCATGAAGCTGATATAATGCCCTAATGCAGGAAGACAGTAAATTGGAATCATTGGTCAATGCTCAGATCTGACTTTTGAAACTTTTAACCCCTTTCTTTCATTTCACACTAGTGATTTACCTGGTTCAAAATAAATAAATAAATAAACCAAAACAAACCCCAAATGCATATTAGAAATGCTACTATGGAAATAATGGACCGAAGCATTCATTGCTTTTCCTTTTCTGTTTTGGAAAGGAGCCAGTGCCTGCCCATAAAATGTATTACATGCCTATAAGTGTTTATACAAATGTGCCTTTTTGATCCTGCCCCTCAAATTTAAAGTGCCTCAAACCAATGTTAGACTCAGATGTCTCAACTACGGAGATGTGTCTGTCCTCCTTACGGATCTAGTGTAGGGTTTGTTTCAACTGTACAGTGTTCTGTGTTGTTTTCGCTGCTATTTTAGGCACACAGACTTGATTCGTAAGTAAGTATTGTGCTCTTCTGCAGTGTACTTGATGACTTTTCCCTTCTTCCCCCTCTCTAAAGAGATTTAGTGCTTGGTTATACCAAGCGGCATTGGCCTCTCAGACCTATGGCTAATCTGGCTCCTTAAAAGGGCTCCGAGTTCTTTATGGTAACCGGGTCCCTGTTGACCCAGAAAGCATGCCAACTGAAGGGGAACACCAGTGTGAATTCACGTGTCTTATTTATACATCAGAAGCTCTGGGCTGATTGGATCACTCCCCCCCCCATAAAAATTCTGTTTGGTGTTCCAGTGCATTTAAACATTGCCTGTGTCAAGCTCCAGAGGGTCGGTGGAAACGATTGCCAGCCAGAGAACTGCATCATAAAAATGGCAGGGATTACATGTGATTTTTAACCCTCACTAGTTCACTTCACCACTAGCAGCTTCTGACTAGCGAGGGCCTTCTGACTAGAGAAACACACTTAAAAACTGCAGAACTGAAGAAGAAAGTAGGTCCTGATCCAATGACATTAGAATGAAGTTGGTCAAAGCACTGAGTCAGAAACGAAAGTCACCATGTAAATGTATACTGTTACTTATGCACCCTACTTCTGTAGCCAAAAGTAAAGGAGAAACCTATGCCTCAAGGGCCTCAGGGGGATTTTCCTGTGAGGAAAAGCCATTGTCACAACCTGATAGGAACAAACTTGAACAGCATCAAACATGAAGAAAGGAACATGCCACAGCGTGAGAGCAGCAATAGAGACGCTGACGGCTCTGTCTCCTGACCCAGCCATGACAGGAGAATCCTGACAGCCGAACCTGGGCTGTGCTGCTGAACACAGGGATGATGGAGTGCTTGAGACTTTGAAATTCACAAGTAGTGTTTGGCAGTTGTGTGAATGTGTGAGTTATTGTGACAGACCTTGTAGATTAGAACATCTGGTGAAATGGAAGAATCAGAGTGTGTGTGTGTGTATGTGTGTACTATACATATGTGTGTGTGTGTAGATAGATAGATAGATAGATAGATAGATAGATAGATAGATAGGTATGTATGTATGTATATATGTATGTATCATGAACATGTTCACTCCCACGGCCTCTCCGTGAACTGAACTCACCAGCTATCTTCTGATGAAATAACACAGTGGATACAGAACCTGGATCTGGGTGTTGCACATTCACCTGCAAGCCTCTGAGCATCAGCTGCAAAAACATCCTAAGTGTGGGGTTGATCCCTGCGATGCTTGCTTGCCCATGTGGGCAGGGTTAACACAAAGGCAATGTTTGAATGTCTGGATCCATCGTTTAGCCTTCCGACTGAGCTTTTCTGTCGCAACCCTGAGCTTCGGTGCCTTAAGAACCATCTAGTAGTCACGGAGTTTGCACTGGTGTTCCTCATCACTTTGCATGTGCCCCTGACTATTGACTCGCAAACACATGTGTCCTGGCAAGACCCCCAGAACCAAAGAATTTACTGTTTTCCTCCCTGGCTCGCAGCTTTGAGCTCAAGGCATGTCTTAAAACAGTGCAACTCACTTCAAATGCTTTTTGCTTTTCATTTATTATTGCTTGTCACGCGGTGTTCTTTGAAAGCTTGCTCATATATTATCTGTTCCATTTTTTTCCATTCTCCCTTTTTTTGCATGCCGTTCCTCCTGTTTCTTCCCTTCCTCCAATCCTCTGTTCCTGTCTGTAGACACCACGGCGACGACAGAACCAGCAGTTCACGGTTGGTACCACATTACTGTTTATCTACTTTCTCAGCGCTGCTGAGAGGCAAGGCAAGCCTGGGAAAAAGAAATGCAGTCTTCAAGGGAACTCATGCTCCGAATAGACTGATCTCATAAATGCACTGTAACGTTTTATGCTTGACATTACGCTGAGTCTTGTCATTTATGTTGGGAGTTCAGTGGCCAATGGTTGCAGTCTGAGATGAGGCCTCCCCTCTGGTGGCAAGCGGGGCAAGGTGTCCACCACACGTTCCTCCTTATGTATAGAACTCCACCACACCTTGGAATAACTGAGCCTTCAGCCATTTTTTTAATTAGGATTTTTAAAAGAGTATTTGCCTACAGAGCTAAGATCTGCAGGCCAATCACTTACCAGCTTTTTCCTCGGGGAATTTTTAAAGGGAACTCTTTGTCCCTCAGTGTTTGAGACAGAGAGTCCAGGAGGAAGATGTCTATTTTGACCCCTGACATGAACAGAGGAAGACTGCTTGTCTTCTCTACAGAAGTCATGACTTCCCTTCTATCCTGCTGGGAACTTCTCTACCCCACCTCTCCATCCCTCTGTTAATTGAAGCTTAGGCTTCTATTAGGTGGGAAGCCACTCCCCAACAATGTTCCCCATGTCCCCATGAACAGCATCAAGTACAGTTTTAAGAAAGTCTTTGGTGTGTGGTACTTTGCAAGCCAAATAATACAAAATATATTAAGTTTTGTATCTTTACCAAAAGGTGATTAAACCAAAGTTTAAAACCCATAAACTTCAGACAGGGACCTCAGGACACTCTGCCTCCTTTTCCCCTGTCACCAGTGGACTACAAAATGGGGACAGGTCTTTTAACTTTTGTGGGGTTTTTTGTTTTGTTTTTTATTCAATCAGAAAATAGAGCCCTGTTTCATCTGTATACTGTTTTATTACTCAGCTAACATCTAACCTTGACAAGACAATACTTAGAGCAGATATCTTAGTTTAAAGGGGGACTGAATTATAATAACTGAATCCAAGGGAATCTTGGTAAAGGGTCTGCTTTGATCACTCTATATGCTGTGCAGCGTGAAAAGTCTACCACTTCAGCGACAAGAGGTGATCAGCCAGCCCTGTGGTGTCAATTTGGTTGCTAGAATAGAATAATATCTAGCCCACATTGACTTCCTTAGACAACTTTGTCTGAGAACCTAGAGGTTGGAAATCTGAGTAAAACCTGTTGGGCTCTGTCAAGATCAGCAGGGAGCCCTCTCTCTCTCCTCCGCTCCCTGCCCCATCCCTCACTTGCAAAGTAACAAGAGCTTAAGTAGGAAACCTAGCTTACTACTACTTCACTGTCCTTTCCTGCCATTGGGACAAAGGGAAATGCCCATGCAGTAAGCTAGAGGGGACAGGTACACTGGACAGCCATAAGAAATCAATTAGACATCAAATGTGCCTTTCTAAAGTAGTGTCTACAGAGCTGGCTACATCTCAGGCAGCAACTGCATTAAACTTAGTTGTTGGTGTGGTGGCCCATACCTTTATCCTAGCACTCAGGAGGCAGAGGCAAGTGGATTTCTGAGTTCAAGGCCAGCGTGATCTACAGAGTGGACAGCCAGAGCTATGCAGAATAACCTTGTGGGGGTGGGTACTTTAGTTGTTTGTATATTTTATCTTTAGTTGAGTACCTTATCAGTTATCCTCAGAGCTTTAAGTTGGCTTCAGTATAGCTCGAGATTTTGTTTTATTCTTTTTAAAGAACTCTTAAGTTTTGGGCTTTCTATAATTAACTCCAGGGTCAGGTGCAATCTAAGATTCCCAAATTCTCTGAGCTCTTTGAAGAAAGAGTGACCATTTATCCCCTAAAGCCTCACAGTTCTATGTTTTAGTCCCTCAAGAAGAATCCAACGTTTGCACTTGTGGGGCTCATCCTTAAGCGCTCGGACAGGGTGTGCAAACTAGAGAGCTAGTCCTCTGGTCTAAAGAACTGAGACATCAACTAAAAGCCGCTTCTGAGTTGAGGCTACTCGTTTTAATTACGTCTGTCTCATTAGAAAGAGAGCAAAGGAGAGAGGAGTCTCTGGACACACGGAAGGAGATATGCTATAGCGTACTCATGGCAGGACATAGGGTTGACTGTGCCATGAGAAGCAGCCATTGTCCTTCTGTCTGGAAACAACATTAAGCTGGGTGTATAGGGTGAGACCAACTGGTGTGAGATGTTTGTGGGAAAAAGTAATAAGGCCAGCCTCCTTATGGCATCTATCTCTTCAATGAGACTCCTTAGCAGCAAAGAAGTGGTAGGGAATCCCAGCTGATCCCTGTATAGTGTATTTATAAATGCATTCTCCAGCTTGTCTCTGGTCCTCATAGCCTCTTCTCAAAGGGGCTCCCACTGTTTTGACCAGCTGACTCTCAAGCCCACGTCCAAAAGCTCTAATGAAAACTAAAATAATCTCTGGAAGTTTACTTGATGGAAAGGGAAGACATTTCTCCAGTCAGTTGTAAAGGATCACAATGTAGTGGGAGCTACAGACCAAGGGAACAGAGGAACAAGGCCGTCATCATACCATAGCATCAGTTTTAGCCTAGTGCTAGAGGCCCCGCTTCTGCAGTACAGCAGCCACAGACAGACTCACTGGATGACCTTGAGATGGTCCTTACAGTGACTTGTCCCAGAAAAAAAGAAAGTTAAGTGGCTTGATAACTCAGCAACTTAAATGACAAGACATCCTAAGTCAGCCAGCTGTGACCGTCTTAGTGGTCTCCAAAGTGTTATACTGGATTTTCCAGATGGCTGTTTTCTTTGATTTAAAAAAAAAAAAAAGACATTTTTAAGATTTCCCTTTGAAGACTCATTAAAATATTTTATTCAAGCTTGTGTTGCTAGAGTATGTATGAAGTTTATTCTAGTTGCTTATGTATGTTGACTGTTCGTTCTTACCGATAACTGATTGGAATAAGCATGTACTGGAAGGTTGGAAGTGCATGAGCATGATCCAAAACCAAATGGATTTTCTCCAAAAGAAAACCAAGCAACAATTCACCACCATATGTTTGTAAGGATCTCACTGAGAGTAAAGATACATGTGAGTGTGAGAGCGAGATGTTTACGCAAGGCTGACGTGGGCGGGGGGGATCTCTTTGAAGAAGGATGTTGAGCATTGTGGTTTTGTGGCTCATCCTTAAGGGCCTGCACAAGGGAAAAAAAACCAAAACCTGTGCTGTTGTGTGCATGTTGATCGATGCAAAAAGAAAAAAGAAAAAAAAAAAAACCACTGCCAAATCCTGATAACTCATGGCCAGAAGCTGCAGGCAGACATGCATGGGTGGTTAACGCACGGGTAGTGTCGTCGTCATTATGGTTATTTGGTGTGTGGGTGTGTGTGATGGTTTTTGTCTTTCTGTTTCACTGTGGACGCTTCTCTGTAAATGTCTTGTGCCTTGTTCTTTTCTGTTCTGTGTGTCCCCTCTCCCTTTCCCTCCCCTCCTCCCCCACCCCCATGAGGGGTGGGGTGACAGCATGCCCACGGTCTGGAATAGCGCTTGTGCCCCTGTTACACTGCAGACAGCTGGCTTCTGGGTTGGAGGTCTCTCCTCTGTCTGTCTGTCTGTTTGTCTATCTATCTATCTATCTATCTATCTATCTATCTATCTACCTACCTACCTACCTCTTCCTATTCCTCTTCTCCTCACTCTTTTAAATCTGCCTGCCTTTTCTACCTGTTGAGACAGTGGAAGCTGACAATCTCATGGATTTTCTTATCCCAGATGATTTTTTTAAATAGATTTTAGTTCATTCCAGAATGGAGAACCTCTCTGAAGCATTTTCCACTTTCTATTTTGGTTTCAAAGTATTTGGCCAGTGCTAGGTAACAAACTCACACCCCAGACCACTGCCCATCCTTAGGTAACTGCCCCATGAGTCTCCCTTTCCCTGATTTATGACTAGTGCAGACCATGATAGAATGCTAGAAGCACTGTGTTCTCTCCTTACCTTACTTGATATTCAGTTGTGGGAAAGTTCTGAAGCCCATTTGAAAGAAGACTAGCCAGCAGTGCACATGGTTACAACCGCTATGTCCACCGTCTGTGTATGTGCCTCTGTGTACATCTCTCTGTATGAGTACATAACAGTGGCATTCAAAGGCTGTCATTCAGTCAAGGGACTCTGCAGACCTTGTATGCTCTCCCCAAGAACAAAGCTAAAGAGGTTTACGAATGGCTGCAGGACCTGAAGATTGCGTTGCAGCCTTGATATGCAGTTTGGAAACTGTTTAACGGCGTGAACCAAATTTCTGCTAATGGGAAGAAGGGAAAAACTCTCCACAAAAGCTGACAAAGCAGGAAGAACAGGATGACTGAGCTTTTAGATTAAAACTACCGGGGGCGTCTGAACTCTTCTGGCTCGTGGTGGAAGTATCAGTTTCCACGACATGGCCAGGTGATCAGATGCGTGCTGCGTAGGTAAGAGAGAGACCGTCGCCTACTTTGTTTTTCCTAATGGGAATGGTGCTAGGCCACTGGGCCAAGGTTTTGCTTCCTAGGGATTTTATTTCATTGTGATTTTTTTTTTGTAATTTTCTGTGAAATACTTACATGATAACCTGATGAATCGAATCCAGGAACCTCTTTAGGTATACTTGATTTTTGCACTTATCGAAATGGCTAGGATTTCTGACTGATTCTGATTCTTTGGGGTCTTTTTCTTCTGCTTTAAAATTGCCATGTCAAGAAGAAGAAATTACAGCTTCAGAAGCACACAGTGCAGTACCACACAGCACCTGTAACATCGGAAAAGACCAAACATGAGTCTCTGTAGAAGAGACTGCCATTATGCATAAATTAAATTATCATATCTGCACCTTAGGGCTTCCTTAATTGCTCAAAAATGTCCCATATACAACAAAAGTAAACTTTCATTTGTTTAACAGAGTTTGAAGAAATGCATTGCATGCATTTTAATTAGAGGTGACTAGAAAGAGCTTGAACAGGTGACAGGAAATTTTGAATAGAAGAACCAAGAAGTAATTT